GGCTGAACACCTTCCCTGTCACAAGAAGGGGTCTCCATGAGGGTACCTCCATCAGGCTGGTGACTCGGGGAAATGGCACCTTATGAACTTCTGGGCATGGTGTCCCTAATTTGGTGACTTGTGTGAATGTTTAATGATTAGTTGTAACTTTCCAAGCATCTTCGAGAAAAACCTTGTGTGCCTTCACGAAGACCTTCCATTTTCTTTCTTTGCAGGAAAAATCAAGGATCTATTTCCCAACGATTCTATTGACAGCTCAGCCGTTCTGGTGCTGGTGAACGCCATCTATTTCAAAGGGCAGTGGCACCAGAAGTTTAAGGAAGAAAACACGGTGGAGGAAAAATTTTGGCTGAGCAAGGTTATTTATTTTATGTTTTTAATTTTTTTTGTTTTGGTGAGGGAATGTAATTAGATGTAATTATTCATTCTTGGAGGAGGTACTGAGGATTGAATCCAGAACCTCATGCATGCTAAGTGTGGGCTCTACCACTTGAGCTATACCTTCCCCTTATAATTTATTTTCATAATGTAATACAGCTCTACATGAAATGTGAAATTTGCATACATAATGATTAATGTACAACTGCACGTAGAAAATCAAATTTGTCAAGGCTCTCTTTCCTTATGTAATTTTTTTTCTTTAATTACTTGGGGATCCTTATAGAAGTTCTTGTCTCTAACTCACAGATTTCCCAGATCATCCCTTAGAAGGAGGATGGGTTTGGTATCTCAATGATATTATCCCTTTTTCTGACTTGTGGTCACTTGGCATTTGTTTCCACATTAATTTCTTGCAGGATAGAAGCAAATCTGTGCAGATGATGAAAGAAACCAAAGACTTCAATTTCACCTCCCTGGAGGACATGCAAGTCAAGATCCTGGAGATACCGTACAAAGGCGAGGAGCTAAGCATGATGCTGCTGCTGCCCAATGCAGTAGATGGACTGCAGAAGGTAAAGCTGTGCACCTCTAAGGCTTCCTACTGTTGCTTCGATTCCTAGCAATGCAAACAAAATAGGCTGTTCATACATTGGTGGTGCTGGCTGGCAGTGATCCAGCACAGAACAAACAAAATAAATACCTTACGGATCACAGTATGATAGGAAGAATATATAGAAATTCTGTCCATCACAAG